CTTTCTTGGGACCGCAGGAGTTTGTGGACTTTGCCACCCCGTAGGTGGCCCTCACCTCACCCACTCTCAGGACTCAGAGCAGCTAGGGGCCTGCGAAGCCTACGAGGATCCAACGCGAAGCGGCTTGGCCAGCCCCAGAAAGGGGTCTTTCCAGCTCTGGAGAGTGGAGGTGAGCGAAGGAGAGGGAAAGCTGCGATTCCTCGAAACTACTTCCCTCTCTGAAATGTCTCTTCTGTCTGCTACCGAGTCCCAGGTCCTGGGCATCAGAATTGCATGTATGTTTTAAGCTAACCGTGTAGGTTCCTGACGAGATCCAGCGCGACCCCCTCCCCCTAACGCTCTCCCCAGGAGAAGGTGGGACCATCTGCATCCCCTCCAAGCCTGGGAATAAATTGGTTGGGAGAAAAGCTGGGGGAATCCACCTTTCTTTGGGCCTTTGTAGTAGTGGTGGGAATCCCTTTCAGAATAAACTGTGGCTCTTGGCCCAAGCCTCTTCTTCCAGCTCTGCCAACCGGCAGCACCAGCCACTTTTTTGAGTCACTGAATGATTTACTTCTGTTATCTTCTTCTGAAGTTCTTCTAAGCCTGCCAAAACCATCTCTGTAGAGCAAGGGCAGGATGAAGCTTTGGTGCATGTTTGGGAAGTATCCCTGCCATTAACCTTTTCTTTTTTTTTTTGTCAAGTTTTTTGTTTTTTTTGATCCATTCAAAAGCTGCTAATCATAACCTGAAATTGGCTCTAGCAGGAAAGGATTGAAAACTTCCAAATGCAGTGTCCCAAGGCTTCCAAACGCAGTCTTTCCTCTACAGGGGTTCTTCACTCCTCAAGTCTTGCTCCTATTAATAGGAAGGTAGTATATATGTGTGCTTGTACCATAAGTCCAAACTGGAAGTTGCTGTGTAAAGATTGACCTATTAGAAATCAGAGACCTGGGTCATGAGGCAGAAAAGAGACAAGGAACTATCCTTTAAAGTTGAAGGATTCCAAGAACAAAATTTTCAAAATATTTTGTAATCTGGCTTCTCCATTGATGCTGATTTGCTTCTTTCTCTCATCATTTAGTAAATATTTTTCAAGCATCCACTCTGTCCTAAGCAATGTGGAGAGTACAACTTGGGCCACACTTAGGATCATACAGTACAAATGATAAATCAGGGCCAATGACATAGAAGAGCTTAAACTGTAGACAAGGAGAATCATGGATTTGGAAGGGAACCTTAGAGATAGTTTACTCTCCATACCCCACACTCCCTCTCCCTTATCACACATACACTCATTTCGCAAATGAGGAACCTGAGCCCAAGAGGAGAATGCACTTGCTCAAGATCACAATGCCATAGTTAAACCAGAATTAGAACTCAGTTCTCCTGAATGTCAGAGTCCAGTGCTTTCCCACAATACTGCAATGCCTAATCTTAAGTACCGAGATGAAAACATATACATCTAATTTACCAGGATTCAGATTCATTTACAGACAGACATTTAAAAAGTGAACTTTTGAATTCATTAGGTAGGATTTCAACACTTGAAGTCATGGAATATTTTTAATTTTCAGAAAAATTAAATTGACCTTTAAAAAGAAGAGGTAAAAAAAACAGAGGCTCTGTAATTTTCTTAAAATTTCATCTCAAAGTAAGATTTTTTGTCTCTAGGTAATTTTGTGGTTTTAATATCTTGACATATTATTCATGAATAATCTTGGACTGGTGGTTAGAGGTCCAGCCTTTGCCTTAGTGCCTGCCCCTGACCCATATTAGCATGACCACTTCACTTTTCAAGGCCTCAGGTAACTTTCTAAGGCTGCAAGTTATGGAGAAATTGCCAGTTGTTGAAATCACGGGTCTCTGAAAATATTGATATCAATCATAGCAAATAAGAACATATCCTTTAGTACCGAATGCCCCAAGCTGAATTACTGAACCTAAGAAATTGAGGCTAATGTAGCTTAGCTTCCCTAAGAACTGTGATCATAGACCAAAGATGTGGAATTCTATCCAGAACATATTGATCCAGTACCTAACAGGTCCTGAAACATGATAGGCACTTAAAAAGTGCTTACTAGTTGACAAAACCCTGTGCAAATGGGGTACATAGAGTCATAGAATGTTATAGGTAAAGGGGACCTTAGTGATAATTAGTTCAAATTCCCTCTTTTACAGATAAGAAAACCAAGGCTTGGAGTATTGAATTGACTCCTCCAAATTTTAAAAGTTGATTGAAGGCAGAGCCAGGACTAGAGTTGCATACACAACTACACTACAATGAAATAGTCTTAGTACGCTAATACTCTTCATCTCTACGTTCCATGATGGTCTCAGAAATTCTAGAGGGGAATTTATCATAGGGAAGAGTTTTGTGCATTAGGACATTGTAGTTAGGACAGTCCAATATGGTTTAAGTGTACCAATTATACAAAAAGGTGATCAATGGAGCCTAAACTTTTAGCTCCTTAATTTAGAGTGTATGGTCTTCTAGAGTATGGAAGTGAGGATAACTAATTGGCATTTGTTTTTCCTTGTCTGAATGAGAATACATTATATGTAAACTTCCCCAATATTAACTTGATCTCTGTAATCACTCCTAAACAAAGATTGGCCGCATTTTCTTAAGCTCTTGCCCACACGCTGCTAAGGGGCTTATGGTCTTGTTTTCCAAAGTTAATTCCTTTTGGAACTGCCCAGCTCGCCCTCATAGCTCCAGGTGAGGTTATCCTTTATTTACTGTTTATTCCAGAGTCTCTGGAGAAAAGCAAGAAAAAAAAAAAGACTTCAACAGCTACTGGCAGGGCCCTATAGGGGAAACAGGGCAGGGAGGGACAAGGGAAGGTTAGGGCATCTTTTGTGCTCAGTATAAAAAGCAAGTCAATACCATTGTGGGTGCACTGGAGAGTACTCAAAGCAATCAGCCGGGGGTCATTGTGAGGGTCTAATCTACATGTGTATTTCCCAAGAACTCTATTAGTGAAGATGAATGGACTTTGCCATGTCCCTAATTCTTCTAATGTGAAGCAGCATTTTTACAGCAGTTACACCAGCATACAATCAACCCTGCTTCTCCAGAAGCATGGAGGCTGGCTTCTGAACTCAGCTTTTCTTTAATTCATTATTTCATTAGACTGATGAAAAGAAAATGTCTTTCCCTGAGCCCTCTCACATACTGGCTGCTCTTGGGCATAGCTGTCCATCTCTTGAACTTGTCTTTAGGTCAGAAGGATGTTTATAAAAGTAGAGGGTGGCAAGAATTTCTGGGCACCCTCCAGAACAGAATACCTCACTGTGAATTGCCGAGAGAGGAGAAGGTGAAGGCCCTGGGTGGTACTGGGGATGGTATTGGAAAAGAGAATTCTCAGAGGGAGGGAGTAGGAGCAGATGAAGAAGGAAGAACTGGGGATGAAGAATAGGATGAAGGAAAAAAATTTTGAAAAAGCTTAAGTATGTCCTATTACATTGCACAGTTTAGCATGAAATGGTTTTTGTTATTTTGGACTGTATCGAGATGGGATTTTTACTGAAGCAACAGAAGGATTGTCTTGCTTGTTATACACTCTATAGAAAGAGATCCCAAGATGGCAGTATAGTAAATTCCAGGGAACTAAAAATTAATTTATAATGTTTTGTCAGCACAATATCTAATCTTAGAGTTTAATTGACCTAATAAAGGGCCTAGTCCACTTGTGCCCAAATAAGACCTTTCTCTACAATATTCTTGACAAGTGGCTATCCAACCATTTCTTAAAGAACTCCAGGGTGGGGGAACTCATTCTCCCCCAAGACATCCCATTCCTCTTTAGGAAAATCCTACTTGTTAGGAAGCTTCTCCATCTATTGAGCAGAAATCTATCTGACCTCTGCAACCTCCATACATTGTTCCTTTGTATAAAAACAATAATCCTTCTTAGGACACAATTTGGTATAGTAAAGAGATTACTCTCTGGAGTCAGTGGACCTGGGTTCAAATTCTGTCTTGAATGTTTAGTGTCTTTGTTACCTTGGGCAAGTCTCATTTTTTCTGGTCTCAATTTCTTCAGCTCTCTGATGAGAAGGTTGAACTATATGGCTTTTGAGGTTAGAAGGGACCTGGTCCCTATAATTCAACATACTAGTCTCTCAGATACATGAAGACA